AGATGCATCTTAGATCTATAATTGTCAGTTGTCGGGACCTCCCTGGATAATAGGGCTTAGTTTTCAAATTCTTATCAATAGTTGATAGAATGATTCATGTTTAACACTCACCCATGTGCCCAGCTACCAAACTGGGGTAGAAAATTTTCCTTGTTTTTGTCTATTTTGTTGAAGTCAGGTGCCCGCCTGGATAGCAGAGGAATACATTCAAGTTTTGAAGTCAGGAGCCCACCTGTATAGCAAAGGAATACATTTCAAGTTTTGAAGTCAGGAGCCCGCCTGTATAGCAGAGGAATACATATCAAGTTCAGCAGTCAGGCATCCACCCGGAGAAAGAGAAAACATCTCAGTTTACAATTCAAAGCGGCAACAATGGATTTCACCGAGAGAATACAAGACAACAAGGCAACAAGAAATACAAGAGCAAGTTTGAAGATCTAGATAGGATTTTTGTAATTCATAGATCATAGCTTAGTCTAACTTCTCTTTATTTTGACATGGTGTAATAACGAGGTTCAGTAAGCGGTAGCAGCAGCAGCAGCAGCAACAGTGAAACCACAGCTCCATGGTAGTCCCAGCTACCAGACCTTCCCGAACTACACTAACCTGATTCCTTTTTAGCCAAGGATATGTAGGCATCCTCAGAAGCAGGGTGCGGTCAAACCTTTCAAAAATGCTTCACACGGAGTATTCAAATGGGCAAAAATCGCTCGTATCCGCTCACTTATCTTTGCACGAAAACTCTTTGTGTTTCCGGGCAAAGAGAGGCAGCTGTGAGCACGTGATTTTTGCCCTATATGAATTACTCCCATAGTTTCAAATCAAAACAAAATGATTTCTTTTCATTTTTGCAATTTTGTGGATTTTGTGGCATTTTTCGTTAATTGTTTGCATTTGTTTGTACATGTTTATTTTATTTAATTAATGAAAAATACAAAAAAAATGCATTTGCATCTAGGGTCTAATTTTTTATTTTAAGAATTAATTAGTAATTAAGTTATTTTACAAAAAAAAAAAGAGAGAAAATCACAAAAATAGTTTAATTTGCATTCTAATTTCGATTTTGAGTAGTTTTTCCTTTTAATTTGTTGGTTAATTAATTTTGATAATTTTTATTTAGGTTTAATTAGTGTTTTTCAGGTTAATTTGGGTTTTAGGATTTAACTTTGATTTTAGTTTAATTTCAAAAAAAAAGAGAAGAAAAGGAATTAAAATAGAAATAGGAGGAAATTGGAAAGGGAAAAGAATTAGAATCAGATTCTGGGCTAGTCTCATATCAATTAAGCTAGGCCCAGTCCGTTTTCCCTTGTAACCCGTTAAGCGAAGCCCAACCCGTCCCTGTTAACCCGACTCGGCCCCAAATTATAACATAAATGAACGGACAGCCCTAATCTCCCAACTCAAGAAACGCGACTGTTCTTCTTCTCCAAAGAAAATCAAATCAGCACCAAATTCGTCCCAAAAATCGCCAAAATTCAGGCGAGTGAATCCCAAATCCCTAACCCACGCGTTCCCCCCATCCCTCCTCTTACCGTTCTAACGGTTTCTGACGCCAAGATTCCCCTCTCCTCTCACTTGCTCAATTTGAGTTATATCTCACGATTGGAAGTTTCTGGGGACGAGATGCTGGATGAGTGTGAGGCGTTGGATTGATTTCACTCAATCCGAGCCCCACATTCATCAAGGATGCGTCTTCAAAAGGAGCCTTATCCGATTTTGAGAGGGGACTCTGGAAAAAAATTTGGAAAAAAAAGTTGAAAGGTTTCTTAAAAACTCCTGGTTTTCTGATTTTATTTTCTTCTTTTAAGAGTTCTTTCAAAGTTTAAGAGAAGCATATACAATTTTTTTTATTGTCTGAGTCCGGCTTTGAGTTCCAAAGAGATGAAAAAGATGAATTGAAGTTCAAGCTTGGTTTTCTATTGTTGTCCTGCTGAGTCGCTGCTGAACCTCGCTAGTACTCGAAGGTAGAAGGCGTATTATTAAGGCTGTAATTATTAACAGAAGTTTGCGACTTCAGGTTTGATTTTCTTTTTTTCCCCATGTAACTCTATTATTTTTTTTAAAAATGTTCTTGAGCTGTGCATTCTGTCTAGAATGGTTCTATGATTGGATTTCTTGCTGGTGAATCTCTTCTCAGTGGTGTGATGTATTTGAGTATGTTCAGTTAGTAAAGTTGAGTTTGAGGGGGTGCCCTCTATGCTTATATGATTTAGCTGTTATTATGACGTCGAGTTTTCATTTGAGTCAAATTTCGTCGTTTTCAAATGAACGTTTGCTTTCAGCCTTGAGATGGTATGAACTCTTGAAGGTGTCACACTGATGTTATCATTGGTTCTAGTTTCATAATAGGGATCAGTCCCAGTTTAAATGACCAGTTCAACTGGTGCTTGTGTTGCTTTGGCTATATACGACATGTTGATGCTCAAAGTAATCTGCTCGAATCTACTGTTTTATCTCAACATGTTTGACATGATCACTGAGTAGTTTCCCTTTTCCCTTGATTCCATGACCATTTTCGCATGTTCTGCTGGTTTGAAGTTGCTGAGATTACCCTGTTAATGTTCGCTTTTGTGGTTGTCCGAGTTAATCAGTTGTTCTTTCTTGCTGCGGCTCTGTTTGCATTATGACCGAGTTTCAAGTTTGAGTTATAAGTCCATTGGGTTGCTGTTTGGTGAAACTCCATTTCAGATCACTTGTAGGAAAATCAGTAGTGCCAAGCTTTCTAAATTCCACTTCGTTTGGTCTGGACAGTCGTGGGTACCGGATTTGTTTTTTTTTTTGTGCATTTTCAGTGGTTTGGCCAACCTCATTTTCATTAGTTTGGCCAGCCTTCCTGCTAAGAACAGTGGAGTACCATTTCTATGCCAACTAAGATTTGGGAGTTGAATCTTGTTAAGTTGATTAGCATATGTTCAACTTCTATTCAATTGAATAATCACCAAGTGGTGTTTTGTTCTGTTGGCATTGTTCTTCCCTGATAATTTAGTCACTAATAATATTATATTGCTTTTGTTGGATTTGTTTGGTGCACATGAAAGTAGGACTCGATGTATTTTTAGGGTGAATTTCTCATTGCAATCCATATGTGGACTTTCATGATTTTTGCTACACAGACATGTTATGCAGATACTTGGTTTTCTCTTGGGTAATGACAATGGTAGCACTGCCAAGTATATTCGGAGGCATCATTTGGTGAAAGTGCTTCTCTTGGCTGTTAACGATTTTAACCCAGATTGTGGACTTGCTTCTTGAGTGTGTTGAATTGTCATATAGGCCAGGCTGATGGCATCAGGCTTAGGGAGGATATCCACAACGCTCATGGTTATCGGTTCTTAGATCAGTTTGCTTTAATCTCGCAAAAGGGTCAAGGTGATAAGAAATCCCATTTGAATTAGCTGAGGCGTGCCATATTCGACAACAAAATAGTTATGGCCCTCACGAGTTAGTATAGAAACCTTTAAGTAGAATATTTTGAGGTGCGCTATGCCAAACAAAAATGACAATTGCGTGGCCCTCGTTTTAATTAGCTTTAACTCAACCTTAGAACACGGGGCGTGCCATTTAGCGAATTTTCACGGCCCTCGCAAAGTGCAAACGCGTAGTTACTTTAGGCGCGTGTTTAATAATATTACTCTCCTAAATTCGGGTGCGCATTTATGTGACCCAAATCCAAATCTCAACGATGTTAAGATATGTCAAAAACCACGGGTGCATTTATGTGACGTGGTTCGAGAAAGGTTTTAACGACGTTGCAATTCTCTTTAAAAATAATAATAAAAGCGGCTAAAAGTTAAAATTTGCACATAGGTTCATAATTGTTTAAAATCAGATAATTAAGCCAAATATAGCGGTTGAGCGACCGTGCTAGAACCACGGAACTCGGGAATGCCTAACACCTTCTCCCGGGTTAACAGAATTCCTTATCCGGATTTCTGGTTCGCGGACTGTTAAACAGAGTCAACTTTTTCCTCGATTCGGGATTCAACCGGTGACTTGGGGCACCATAAATCTCCCAAGTGGCGACCCTGAATCTCTTAATAAACGAATCCCGATTCGATTGTCCTTTAATTGGAAAAACTCCTTTATTTTATACCCTTCCGGGGGTGTAGTAAGAAAAAAGGAGGTGTGACAATGTGAATGTGTGATGCCTACAAAATGATTAGGACCCTCTTTATATAGTAGAGGAATCCTATTTATGGTATAATTCTAATTACAAAAGCAAATCCTATGATAGACTAAATAACCGGTCCTGACTCGATACGTTCCGAGATTTCCGCCACAATCCTTGCCCAATCACGGATATCTCGGCTTTCTGTTATACGACCTAGCAGGCTTCCTTCGATCTCGCTCGATCTCTTACTCGCTTCGGTCTCGATCACGGCTGGTCTCGATCTTGATCGGCCATTGATCCACGAGCTTACCAATCCATCTCCGTACCATGATTCGATATAACCGAAACCGAGCCTTGATCTGTCACCCCGATTTGGGTTAGTCATACAAAATTAGGCGAGTCCGATTTTGACCGTATACAATAATTAATAGAAATTTCAACCTTGAGAAACTTTGCCATTGACAAGTTGAAATTAGTTTTTCATGGATATATACATTTTTAGTTTAAAGGTCGGCTAAAAAGAGGAGTATCCATTTAGTAGAAAAGGTAATTACCACATAGTTTTATAATCAAAATGACATGTCATAATGTGATTTTTAGGAACCAATTTTTATTTTATTTTTTTTGATAAAGAGTTGAATTACAAGTTATCTTCTCTTTTGTACTTCAACTGTGTGATGATAACTAAGACGTAGAACTTGATAAACCAAGTAAACGTGTTCCACAAGTTTTAAAGCCCTAAAGCTAGCTTTCACAAAGATACCACTTCTTTGCCAGGGATCAATTATCCCTTTGCCTAGATAACTAATTTCTGGACGCACTGCTTAGCCAGATCCTTTACAATTCTTCAGTTCCATATAGAAGCTGTCATTCCTCAAGTTAATAGCTCTAACAGAAGAAACAAAATTACTCTAGGCAATATTTGAAATGATATTCGTGATTAACTTCAACACCTACAGAATCTATCTATGATCTTACGTACATAGAAGAATTTAGTGCATTAATGTTACTTTGTCCATCATCATGACCCTGACAGTTTCTTCTAAAAGCCAGCAACAAAATCTTCCATGCATGACCTGTATGTTTGCATCCCTGGGACTTTCTTGGCCAACTCCAACCCCATAGACATCCACCTCTTTGCTTCATCCATATTCCCCATCCTCACTGGGATTGCTGCTCTGTTCCATGCTGTCATGGCTAGCCATTTCGCTTCTTCAACTGGATATTCTCCTTCCTTCAAACCCACCATTATCCTATATGCTTGCTTGTACGTTTCCATTGTTGCATCGTCATTGCTATCAGCTCCATGGATGCTTCTTAGACAAACAAGTTTCCTCAGTATGAGTGCCACACTTTCATAATCAGGCGAAGATGAGGCCAGGAGTATGGAGAGGCAGGTGCTTAATGCAAAGGTCGCTACTTCGTGGTTGGAACGTGGTCCTTGTGAAGCGTCAATGCCAATCTGAAGTAGATGATTTGGATTGCAACATTTTGAATTTGCAAAACGCTTAATAAGGAGGAGCTGTTGACTTCCTGTGTCATCAAGCCTTGAATACAGATCAAAAGCACACCAAGTGTACATAAACAAGAGTTTAGGCTCAATGATGGCCTCTAACTTGTCATATTCCGTTGAGCTTGACATTAACATCTGCATCAAGCATCACATGACAATGAAAATTATAGTCTAGAGAAAACCATGTCTTGAAGATCATGAACGTAATAGCTCCATAATCAGGCGGCTAAGAAATTTCAATCAGATAAGAACCAAAATAACAAACGACAAAGTAATAAAATGTGAAAGTCAAATAAATGGAAGAAGAAATATCCATTGATCGAAATTGGTTACCTTTCCTGCTCTGTCTAGCAAAGAAATAGCTTCCTTCACTTCATTTTCCAGTAATGTACTCTTTCTTTGCCTCTCATCTGAGATTATTGCAGACACGGTCATAATCAGTGATTTGCATACCATTACATGGTTCCCTTCTTTCTCTTCATCGATTGAAGCACCATAAAACTCCGATGCCAATCTAAAGAACTCTGCAGATAGTGCATGTTGGTCCTCCTGCCCCGTTTTAACACCGGAATTCCATGCATTCACTGAAAACCAGTTCCTTTCCCGTCTCCCAATCTCGCCTTTCCCAAAAAATTTGTCAGCACCTAGTTCAGATAGCCGAGTATGAGCTCGTTTCATCTGCTTTAGGATATCAGAATCATTCTGAGGACCCTGAGATAGAGTCGTGACTAAAGTCCTGAAAACTACAACCTCAGTTGTTGGCATCTGTTTCCCTGTGGGGTAGAAATTCAAGAGAAGCGACAGAGAAGCAACAGTAACTGGATGACAACGACAGACAATAGCTTCATGAGCAGCTAGAGAGAGGAATTCAGTGGTGAAGTCAAGGCGACTTGGCATTGCCTGCAGCTGAGAGATAGCACCATCGGGTTCGTTCTTTTGCAGGTAGATCTTAAACTGCCATATTCATGTATATCTCAAAATTCAGATAGCCAAACAATTAGGAGCATCAATTGAATACATAGATATTCAGGGAGGGGAGAGCAATCACACCTTCAAGAAGGTACTTGCTATATTTGGTTCAAGCTGCAAAAGAGGAAAAGTATCAGATCAAGTTAACGAGAGAAAATGTGATTAATTTTTTGAATGCACCTTCTCTGCCTCGTTTATGTATTCCTGAGCACGATCTAACTGTGAAACGGCCATATAGCAGAGGCATAAAACTCTAAATCCCTTTGCTCTGAGATTTCTGCTCTCTATGTCAGAAGGGCTATAAAGCAAAGATTTTTCAAATATCTCAGCACTGGTCTGGAAATCTTTTGACCGGAAGTGTTCTGCTGCACTGTGGAAGAATCAAAAGTTGATGTTAAATGATAAATAGAAAGCATTGCCACTTCATAAATACATTTGCAATTACGTAAAGAACCAAAAAGAAAGTTTTGATCAATGCTTTCCTTTTTCCTTTTTATGATTCCATTCTCTGCCAAGCTGTGGAATTTAGGGGTTAGGGCTGAAGCAGTCAAGATTGAAATCTTTCAGAGAGTATATCCATTTCACATATTACCAATAAGAAATACTAGTAACAATTATGATAGACTGCTAGTAACTGCCAAAGGCTTGCTATTTGTAATACAATAACTATGCTTCAAGCCCAACTAGTCGAGATCCACTATATGAATCCTCAATAACCATTCTGCTATATTTGCGTCCTTTTTAATAATAAGGCATTAATTGAATCGAGAATGCAACTCCTTTTATTCAATGCTTGAATTCATGACTTCAAGTTCTATGTGACTATCAGAATATGAAAGATGTATTCAGCAGGAAAGCAAAAAACAATTGAATATACCAGTTCCAAAGAAGAGCATGCATAGCTGTTCTCTCTTTGGAAGTATCCTCTCCACTCAAGAGCGTCAGAATCCTGTCATCAGACACCAGGTCCGATACCACCTTTGCCCTCAATCTGGCCTCTTCACCAGCACCAGCAGGATCCCCTAGTACCTTACTCACCACCCTAATTGCTGCACCAGCACTAACATGGCACCTTCCAAGTAGTCCTAGAAACACTCCCTTCACTGTTGCTGCTCCAGCAGCCCCCACAACTTGAAAGTATGATTCAACAGCCGATACCCAAACTCCTTCAGGAATCCCCTTATCCACTACCATTCCTCTTAGCTCCTTCTCCGCTTCCCCGAACCTCCTTAATCCCAGCCATGCTTTCATTGCCAACACACTAAGACTCGGATGCTGATCCTTCTCACCGTTTCTCAAAACCTTCACACATTTCAACACGCTCTCGAATTCATCTCTCTGCAAATGAACCGCTGCCAAAAACCTAAGCGTCTTCGATCTCAGTTCCTTCAAAGCTAACGTGTCCTCTGTCCTCTTCACAACTGTCAAACCCCTTTCACACAATTCCAGTGCATCATTCATCAGTCTCAATGCTTCATTCACTCCAGAAACTTCATTTTTCGATAGTATTGCTTTTCCAAATGTCAAATACTGATTAGCTAAAGCTTTATAGTTCTCCGCAACAGCGAAGAGCATGCTTTTCGATCGACTCAATAGAGCGACCGCTAAATTTCTATCAGAGACTTCCCAAGCTGTACGTGATCGAGCAATATTTAGATCTAACAGAAACCTTTTCTCTTCATTTTCTGAAATAGTACTGATTTCAACTTTCGATAACAGATCCGTAGCTTTCTCGAAGCAATAGTTAGCGTGTTCGAATTTTCGAAGATCGTGCCAAATAAGACCTGTTTTATAGAAGAAGGACGCAGATTTAATAGCCGGCGAGGGGATACCTGAGACGTCACAGGCGAGGAAGAGGAGGTCAGCTGATACTTGACGCAGCTTTGCGTGTTCCTCATCGATTTTATGACCCCAAGTTTTAAAACCGGCAGCATTTGAAAGATCGACACAAGCATTCCAAAGGCGGTAGGATAGTTTCCAAATGTGGAGCTTGACGGAGTTAGGGTAAGGAGAGAGGGAATTCAGCTGAGAGATACTACGCCGGAGATCGGTGGAGAAGGAATCCGGCAAGGCAGTTCCAGGTACGTGTTTCTCGATATCTTTGATTGATGATTCGATTTGGGAGCATAGTTGACTGTGAAGGTCGTTTTGACCTCCCCGGAGCTCCGGCGTAGAGATCTCGTCAATTTTCATATTTGTGAGCGATGGTTACTGGGAAATTTGAAATGAGAGCAACGTAGTCGCGGTTTGTTTTGGAGGGAAATGGGAAAATATAGAATGAATTAACCCATCACTTTATAACTTGACTTTTTTTGTTACTTCTAGCTTTTATTATCAACTAGTTAATTCATATAAAATTACCAAGACATACAAATCAAAGAAAAATTAATTGTTGATGAGCGAAGGAAAAACATTAATTCCAACACTGTAACTTAAAGTATTTGTTAAACAAGGAGATGAGATTTTAAAATATAAATTCTGAAAGTAGTACAAAAATGTAGAAATGGCATGGTGTAGCCACTATTTAAGGTGGTATTTATTTTTTATCCAGCAATTCTAATGTTGAGCAAAAATAGCCACTGCCCTATTAAAATTAATATGAAAAGATATTTTTACCCTTTCTTCCCTTGCTTTTCTTCCCAAACCCTTGCTTCTCTCTCCGTGCCTTCTCCATAACTGTTGCATTATGTTGAGGCGGCGGAGCCTATCTACACAGTCATTCTAATGCACATCGTTTGTAAGCATTCATTAAAAGACAAGCTCTTTAACAGAACTTTTCAATATTCATGGTTCAAAAGTTAGTAACAGAACTTTGTAAGTAGGGTGTAGACCATATGCTCTCCTTGCATGGTTCGGTTGGAAAGCACAAAACAAAAGAAAAAAAATAATGATTTCAATTCATAGCCAAAGAATAATGTCGCAGACTCTCCCAAATTTAAATCTTTTAACTTTGATTTTCAAGTTCAAAAGTTAAGGACAGACATCAGTTACAAGTTCAAAACTTAAGGACAATAGGTCCTTAACTTTGATTTCCAAGTTGTAAAGTTAAGGACAGGCAGTCCTTAACTTTGAGTTTCAGTTTCAAAAGTTAAGGACAGGCAGTCCTTAACTTATAGTTTCAAGTTCAAAACTTAAGGACATGCAGTCCTTAAGTTATTGTTTCAAGTTCAAAACTTAAGGACATGCCGTCCTTAAGTTATTGTTTCAAGTTCAAAACTTAAGGACATGCAGTCCTTAACTTTGAGTTTAAAGTTCAAAAGTTTAGGACAGACAGTCCTTAACTTACAGTTACATGTTCAAAAGTTAAGGACAAGCAGTACTTAACTTACGGTTACAAGTTCAAAAGTTAAGGATAATAGGTCCTTAACTTTGACTTACAAGTTCAAAAGTTAAGGACGCTTGGTCTTGAAGTTTGAGTTCCAAGTTCAAAACTTAAGGACATGTAACCTTGAAGTCCCGGACTTAGAGTTCCAAGTTCAAAAGTTAAGGACATGTAGTCCTGAAGTCCTGAACTTAGAGTTTCAAGTTCAAAAGTTAAGGACATGTAGTCCTGAAGTTAAGGACATGAGCAGAAGGGTATTTTTGTCCGAGCAGTTAAAGTTTATTAAACCAGTGGCTAAAGACTAAAGACATTTAAAACGCTGGCTTTAAAATAAAGACATAAGCTGTTAGTGGCTATCTATGCACATCGCCCTACAAAAATCCAAATAAGCAAAAGTCGTGGATGTACTGAAAATGAGAAGAAAGGAATAAAGAAAAAATGATAAATTATATTATTTGTAAATGTGCATCCGTACTTGTGGGGACAAGCGCTAAAGATGTCACAATGTGTTTCTAAATTGTTGCTTATGAGGTGTTATGTAATTTTATAAAATCTTGTTTTCAAAACTTGTTGGCAAAATAACACTTAAGGAAATTCTTATAAGTTTTATTAAAACTTATTTGTTGATAAGAGAATAAAATGCTTGAGTGCTAAATATATGTTTTTATGAAAAACTTTATCTTTTGAAATTTCAACAAAGGAAGCACTTATTGTATCTTAAGATTGATGTTAATTGCTAAAGACTTTCACATGAAAAAGATTATTTATTTGATTTTGTTCAAATGGTTTGTATTGACTATGAAAATCATGAATTGAAAAAATATATCCTTTGAGGCAATTATGCTATGAATCTAATTTTGATATGTCAAATATTTTGGGAGTTATTAGTGGAGATCACAGAGATTGGTTCGAATGTTGTGTTCGTTACCATGAAACTACACGTACCGGTATAGGGACACATTCCAAGGAAAAGCCGAGGATTTTGGGATAAAATCCTCCATTGAGAGGGAAAATGATCATTACTTAAAGTAATGGGGTTAAGTCGACTTGTACGACACTACGGAAAGCCGCCCAGACAAGTAAGGTCAAATACTTATTGCTAGGATGATCACCTAATAGTTATTCATTATATCGGTGTCGCTATAGTACTCCCGGTGAAAGGCAAAAGAGAACTTTCTTATGTTTAGGCCTAAGGAACCAAAAATGGTTTCAATGACTTAATGAGATTGAAATGGTTTTATATGATTGACTTAATGAGATAGAAATAGTTTTATATAATTTTTATTAAAATCATGGGTTGATAGAGACGTTCTAAAACTTTATACCATGGCTTACATCTTGTCTTTTATTGAAAATGATAAAGAGCGTGATTTATATAACAGTTTATCACTTTATGTCTAATATTGGTTGTATTAGTATTGTAAAATTTTGTCCCTACTTGAGTTAGAGAGAGTCTATGACACTTATTGAGTACTGTTGTGGCGTTCTTAGCCCTTAGGGCCTCCCCTCCAGAGCTCCACTTATTTTACATGTTTCAGGATGAGGAATGATATGTGGCATGCGGTCAGGGTTAGGATGACTCTCTTTATGAGGTATATGGTGAGGCACCACTCCTATTTCATGGTAGACATCATGTTATTTTCTTAATTTATGCTAGTTGGGTATTAGCCCAAGTATTTAATTCTATTCTTTGGTATAGAGGCTCCATAGATAGTTGTAAAAATTTTTAGTAATAGGGTTGTACACGACATACATGAAAGGATACTTATTTTACTTAGTCTTATTGTTATGATTATGAGAGGCTTCATGTATTGTTGAATTTGAAAAATATTCCATCATTTAACTTGAATATATATATATATATATTCCAAAGAGCTTCCGTAGTTAAATTGGTTTTCATGCATATGGTTTGGATGCATCACATGGGTTGGTTCGCTCGAGTCGGATGGTGTGTCGGGTGCCACTCACGTGAATTTGGGTCGTGACAAACTTGGTATCAGAGCACTAGGTTCTAAGTTGAGTCCTAGGAAGTCTATGGAGCCGTGTCAAGTAGAGTCCCTCTTATTAGTGTGTTGCCGGCCACACTTATATCGGGGAGGCTACAAGGACATTTAAGTAGTTTCACTTTTTTCTTACTCCAGATCGTGCTTTGTGCCTAAAGTGAAAGACATGGTTCTCGGGTGTATTGACTACCTGACGTGGTAGATACAGAAGTGACGCACAAAACTCAAGGTTCAAGATATTACACGTGCTCCTTGAAAAATAGCCCGGAAGGATCGAACTATCCATTAATGGATTAAATGATGGGTTAAGTTGAGAACATATTTAAAAGTGATACAGTCAAGATGTACAACTGTGATGAGCAAGAATCATATGTCGAATTCTGAGTACTCACGGAAAAGAAAATGAGGTGACGATGTCAGCTGGTACTGTTGGAATGGTGTCAGAACTCACGAAAGATTGTACTGAAGGTTGAAAAAAATGGGTAATACTTATATAACAATGTTTTTAAATTGTAGATCAAGATATTGGAACAGCCCTTTGCTATGACAATCACTATTTACTAGTACAACAAAGGAACGAATAAATAAAAAAGGAAACACAATGGTTTCAAGATATATGGGAAGGTTGTACCTCAAATTATCGTGATATGTGTCGAGGAATGATAAAAATTAAAGTGATAAGAGAATGTGAATCAACCAAGTTCATACCGAGCACCTTGTGACTCATATTCAGGACCAATTTGGGATAATGTCAAGAATGACCAAAAGTATCTTTTTTTTTAAAAAAAAAAAGGGTAGGTGAACTTTGAATACCTCCTAGATGTCATGTGATACAAATAAAATTCAATCTTCAATGATGCACACTGAGGTATGTGAACTTAAATGGATAAGTTAAAAAGTGTTCATGCATGATATGCACAAAAGGTGTAACCTTAAAAGATTTGAAGAAGTGAATAAGTTGCCAAAGGAGGTGAAGTGATGTGGAAAAATAACCTTGAGTTTTTCTAATTGGTATATGCTTTTTTTGTCCTTTTGAATGGTGGGAATTAAGAATTTTCAAAGGTAAGCTCCAAAGCACCTCTACATGTGTCAAGGGGAGTTGTTAACTTGTTATTTTGATGGAACCTTAAGATTTAAGAGGAATAAATATTTAAAATGATGTATCAGGCCAAATTGGAGTTTCAGGCGGATTATGAATATTGCACATGTAGTTTAAAACTTAAGAACTTGCAAGCGATAGCGGTGCAGGTGTGAAGTTGATGCGTTACAAGTGATCCAAGGCTACATAGTGATGCCACACGAATCCTAACATGTTATCTACTGCAACGAGATTGAAGACACCTCGAGATATGAAGGTAATTATCATACAAATAATTAAGTACCCACAAGTAGAATCCATGAATAATGTGAAAACAAGGAGGTAATATTAATTGCACGATGAATGATGATGTGAAGGTGTGATATTGACTATAATAAAAAAAAAGGGGGGGGGGGGGTTATGATGATGTCATGAAGAAGATTGCACGTTTCTTACCTTTAGCATTATGAAAATAGTGTATGTTATGAAAAGTTATATGAAAGTTATGCGGTTTTAGCCTGAGGCAGTTGTATTTACCAAAAATATATTTGAGCATGGACTGAAGGAAAAGATACTAGAAAAAGATTTTTTAAAGTAAAATGGGCACGAAAAATGATATGCTAACTTTATTGTTTTTGTAAGGACATGAAGTACTTGGCAACATGAGTTGCGGCTAGAAGTGCCATGATACTTGGGTACGAGAAAGGTAACAATTTTTCTTCTATTGTCAGAATAGTAGGCACTACTAAGTGTAATTACAAAAATAAAAGTCAAGGCTTCATGGAAATTTGAAATGGTGAATTATGATTTTGAGTTGGGAATAAATAACTTGTAGTAGTATATAGACGTGTATA